AGGGCTAAGAGGGAGGAACAACATGATGAAATCCAACACCACCATTCCTCTTTTAATACAACCCATAACTCACACTTCATCTTGTCTATGTTAGTGTGGTTGGAATCAATCTCATCCCATACTTCTTTTGCTGCACCTCAAGCTTTCTTCACATGGGATCAAAGGTGATCAATTGTGGCTGCCTTTTGCTGCCAACCCATGTGGTCTTCTTTTGGTTGTTGAACAAAAACGAGTCTTCTGAACCAGACTTGGTGTAGGAAGGCCAGAGGTTTCAAAACTTATCCAATGGTGCTCAAATTTGGATATGTTATACTAGACACCCAATTGAACAACGTCTATGAAGAATGTCTCCTCATACGAGTTGTGCAGATTGCTGAAATGAGACCTGCAAGGTGACTTACGAAACTGGACTGACAAGAAGTGTGGCCCAACTTTGGTTTTGTCTTTAAGCTCTTGCTCTTTGCCAATCAGCCCTTAACATGCATGGATTGCATCAAATGTGATCTCTTGCTATCTTAACCTACAAAACACACAAATAGAGGTAAGTGACTCAAAATAAAGAGAAACTAAGCAAAATCAATAAGTAAAGAAGGCAAGCAAGTGTATGAAATTATGGACTTATCAAAACAGAAAATGGATTAAAAGCACAAGTTTAACTCAATAACATAACCAAATCATAAGCTAGAAGGGTACAAAATGATATACAATTATGAACCGATCAGTTGTCCAGCTGTAATTGGGCTTCCTTCTGTGACTTGGGCTCTTGAGTCAAGGAGGTCTTTGCCTTGCTAATCTTTTGACAGTATGAGTCAAGGTGATCATGTGTGGCACACGAACGTGCTGGAAGTGATCGGTAGATGGGAAGGGGAGGTCGGCGATGGTCCACTCGTTCCTCTCACCTACTATGATGGTAAGTTGTACCCCTTTTATTTGCCATAGTCTTTCTGAAACTTTACTGTGTATTTGACTAACTTTCGTCTTCTGCTTGTAGAGAATGACATCTACAAGAAGCTCAATCTCGGCCCGGACATGACCAAGGTTCAGCATGCTCTGAACATCCATATCAGGTTCCGTGAATGGCGTTGGTTGCTAAACGAACATCGGAAGGAGGTTGGTGGTTTGCCCCCTGTTGAAGATGTTGGAAGATGGAAGCTATATGGCCCGGACCTAGATGGTCTGCAAGTTGAGCAGGAGGAGTCCTCGACCAAACTTCCTTCTTCTGCCACAAGCAAGTCTTCCTCAAAGGCAATCTCGTGTGTTGAGAATATCCCCATGGGAGTTTCTCCTTCTTCATCTGTCGGGATCAAGCACCTCGTCAGCATGAACAACAAAAAGGTCAATGGCATGCAGGAGGTCCGGGATATTCTGCTCAAGTCTCCGCCCGAATTGCCCAAAATCCGTGATCTTCCTTGTAAAGAGGCCACTGAGAAGCAAGGATTGGGTCGTCTGCGCCAATCCGGGGATCAAACTGGTTGGCTTAATTATTTGACCTAGGATCTGAGATATTTTACTTCCACAAATATCATATAGTAGTCTTTCGACAAGGTTATATAGTAATGAAAGAACACGCATATCCCTATAATTAGTTGATAACTTAACATGTCTGTCAGTAAGCTTAATAGATTACTCAGTGATAGGAACTTGCCTGCAATTGTCAGGGAAGTTTCAGTTAGATTAGGAACTTGAAGCACATCTCTTTCAAGTTTCAAGGGTACGAATCATAGCAAAAGCTGAAATTGCCAAGTCGGTTTATCGACAGAAAATTTATCCTACAACAAGGAAAATATGAAAGTATGAAAGCACGAAAACAACGGTAAGCTACCACATAAAATTCGGAAATGAAAATCATCAAGGAAACTGTAAACCATATACAAACATGTTCGTTACTTATACGAATTGGTGGATTCGCATTAACAGCTGGGTAAAGAACAGCTGGCTGAATTCCTTGTGCGATAAGATTCTTGAATGTCTGCGCAAACATAGATGCTGTGAATTTGCTGTTAACAAGAATCTTACCTGCCATTCTTGCAGCCATACTTAATTTTTTTCAAAAAATCAGTGAGAAATAGTAGTATGTGCCAAATATAGTGTAATTGAGAGAATTGAGAATGTAGAACAAGAAGAACAAGATAGGTTTTGCAGAGAATTCAAATCTGCCAATTGAATTACTTACATGGTGAATGGTTAGATATACAAGTATACAAGGTGATTATTAGTTACAAACAATGCACAAGACATGGAGGGAAACATGGAGAGTTTCGATCCCTAAAACAAGGAAGAAGAAAACAAGGAAAAGTAACAAGGTGGTAGACAAGCCATTTAGGGATGTCTATGTTTTGTCTTTGTCTTTACTAACAGTATGATTACAGCAAAGGAACACTAAAAAGGAGCACAGGACACATCAGATAAATATGATAAAGCCAAGATAAAGAATCAGACCAGTTGTCATTTCTTCTATGAAGTCTAAAGGTTTCCTATATATTCTCTTCAAAATAGCGTTTGTTTGTTGAGCTAGCAATAAATCTGGAAAATTACTATGCTACCAGATAACAGTTCATATAAAATAGGTGCAAATACCTTTCTCGTCTTCTTAATCTTTAGCAGTGGGATGACAAAAGAAACCTGATCTGCTAGTATTACATCAAAATGATGGCCACATGACCAGCTCGCAGAGAGCAACAAAAAGGCACCACAGAAATGCACACAAAGCATGAAGACGATAGAATATACAGTAACAGGAAAGATACCTGGGAAACCAAATGACATTAAAACATCAAACGATGCACTGTTTTTAAATGACGGTTGATCACCGTGACACTGAGAAAAAAGGAAAAGGAAAGAAAAGAAAATTTGATATGTTTGTTCTAACTATGTATAAACCATCTTCCAATCCCACGGTGTAGCATCCATTATCTATGTAGTACCCTGTTTGATGAAATTCCTATAGCAGGTCTGTGTTTTTAATCCTGTTTCTCTCAGAGTACACACACCAAGACGACTTGAAACTGTCATTTTCAACATTTTATTGTAAAATGGATCATGTAAATCTTTCATTCAACTTTCACTATTATACCAAATAGGTGCAAATACCTTTGTTGTCTTCTTAAGCTTTAGCATTGGGATGACAACAGAAACCTGATCTGCTAGTATTACATCAAATGATGGCCACAGGACCAGCACACAGAGAGCAACAAAAAGGCACCGCAGAAATGCACACAAAGCATGAAGACAATAGAATACACGTAGGGGTAGGAAAGCACCATATACAGTAACAGGAAAGATACTGGGAAACCGAATGACATTAAAACATCAAACAATGCACTGATTTTAAATGATGGTTGATCACCACGAAACTGAGAAAAAAGGAAAAGGAAAGAAAAAAAATTTGATATGTTTGTTCTTACTATGTATAAACCATCTTCCAATCCCACGGTGTAGCATCCATTATCTATGTAAAACCCTGTTTGATGAAATTCCTATAGCATGTCTGTGTTTCTAATCCTGTTTCTCTCAGAGTACACACACCAAGACGACTTGAAATTGTCATTTTCCTCATTTTATTGTAAAATGGATCATCATGTAAATCTTTTATTCAACTTTCAACCAAACTTACATATGAAAAAGAAAAAACAGAGTTACTCTTGTTCGATGTTTTGTAACATACACAATCCAACCTCAAGCAAACCCCATTCCTATTTTACACAGATACCATGAATCCATAATATCAAACATAAAATTGAAACAGAGAAAGCACACACCAGAAACGGTCTCCTCAAAGCATCGATTTTTGTCATGGTGAACTTCATGGGATACAAGTTCAATAGCCACATCAACAATTAGTCTTTCAGCTCCACCTACACATCAAATTCATAAATACAGCTTAAACACAAAACAACTTCTTTACAACCTTCAACAACAATAGAAAGAAGAAGAAGTAGAAATTACCCATGCCCAGAAAATAATAGCAACGTTCAACTTTCAGCTTCCCTTCTTTGCCATTTTCAGCTCTCCTTTAATTCTCTGCATTCTAATTCAAAGTCACAAAAGATAAGCATTTTCTGCTAATTGGGCCAAAACTGGGTCGGTTCTGGCCCAACATTTGTAATATAAAGTGTTGGGTTCTGGCCGAGTTCGATATGATCCGACCCATTTCAGTTTCGGACCAAAAACAGGTCGTGATCTTTCTAATTAGTTCTTAACTTCTCGCACAGAAGAATCTGAAGAAGAGAAGAGAAGAGAAATGAGTGGAGAAGAATTAGCAGGGCCACCCAGCCCCAAAGCTCCTTCGTCTGCTTTATTTTGTCGGCACTGGTTGTAAGTCATGAATTTTCATTTCAATTTTAAGTCTTTCGTTTTTGAGAGAGAGGGAGAGTCTTCTTCTTCTTCTTCTTCCTTTTTTAATGTTCGGCTGATTTTAAATTATGGGTAGTTATTTGCATTTGTTTTCTTTCACGGCTTCATCGAAGAGGTCCACCTGGCGACAATGTAGCGTTTTTATGTGAAAATTTTGATTTGGCTTGCCAATATCCATGTTGGTTGCATTATCGACTTTAGACAGTTGAGTTAAATTGCAAATGTATTACAACTTGTTTATTGCAGAGATGTTATAAGCTGTATTTTCACTTGTCTGCATGAGTTTAGGGTTTCTTTTCCCCCATAACTTTATGAACTGAAACATATATCCTTTAAATTTGAGTCCAGTTACTTTGAAATGAAGGAAAAAAAAGGAAAAGCAAACTGAAAATGCAAAATAAAAAGTACAATATTAATAAATATATATCTAGCCTCTAAGCCTTCTTTTCATCCTCTTGAGGGGGACTGTTATCATCACATAGAGGAGCCTATCTTGTAGATTGTCTATGAAACGAAAGTACGCATATCTCCATGTCTTGTTAATAACTAGAGAACCACAAACTCCCCAAATCCTAATATGAACCCCAATGCTGCAAAGATATAAAACCACGGAAGTTGATGAAGTCCATTGTCCACGTCTTTATAGTTCTTGTTATTTGCATCAATGCCTTTACTTGGTCCGCACTTATTTGGAAGTGGGGCACCACAAAGTTTTGGATTCCCCTCAAAGGCAGAAGCGTTGAAGCTTTGGAGCTGGGTGCCTGTTGGTATTAGTCCTTCAAGATTATTGTATGAGGCATTAAATTCTTTCAAGAAATTAAGGCTCACCAATGACGATGGGATTATTCCAGACAAGTGATTCGAGGAGAGGTCTAAAACCTCTAAGTTTTTTAGGTTAGATATTTGTTCAGGAATGACGCCAGAGAAGTTGTTGGACCCAAGAAACAGCTTGCGGAGAAGATGCAATTGGCCGATCTCAGCAGGTATATAACCACTAATGTTATTGTTAGATAAGCCTATTATTGTTGGAACAGAAGACAATTTTCGTTGTAGCAAAGTTTGATTTGTGCATATGTTGACGCTGAAGACAGGCAATTCAAATTCATATTTGTGTACTTGAGATGCAATAGGTTCATAAAGCAACCTTGGTAGTCGACAAAGTTGCTTTGGAAATTCACCTGACATTCGGTTGTATCGCAAGTTTATATAAACCAGTCTAGGAAGAGTCCCCAACCAACTTGGAATTGGCCCTGTGATTTGATTAAAACATAGTTCCAAGATCTCTAGATTCTTGAGCTTTGTAACCATACAGGTATTTGACCAGTGAGGTCAGAATCAGCCAAATTCAATGCTCGAAGATTTTGGAATCCGTCAAAATCAACCATGTCATCATCAGATGGCATTCCCTCACCTACAAAGGAACCACTAAGTAGGAGTGCGTGAAGACTTTTGCAACTCATCAATATCTTCATTGCCCCTGTGAGGTTGGTGAATCGGTTGTAACCAAGCGAGAGGAAGGACAAGGATTTCAATGAAAGAATCTCAGCTTCTATTTGTCCATCTAGATGATTTATAGCCAATCCAATGGCTTTTAAGGACCTACATGAGTAAAGACTTACTGGAACCGTACCTGTGAAGTTATTGACCCTTAGGTCAAGTTTAGTAAGTTGTCCAAGTCTGGAAAAATCAAGCATGGAGATATCTCCTTCCAAGTTGTTGTTTCTCAGGAAGAGTCCCCAACCAACTTGGAATTGGCCCTGTGATTTGATTAAAACCCAGTTGCAACATCTCTAGATTCTTGAGCTTTGATAACCATAAAGGTATTTGACCATTGAGGTCAGAACCAACCAAATTCAATACCCGAAGATTTTGGAATCCATCAAAATCAACCATGTCATCATCAGATGGCATTCCCTCACCTTTATAGGAATTAGCAAGCGAGAGTGTGTGAAGACTTTTGCAATTCATCAATATCTTCATTGCCCCTGTGAGGTTGGTGAATCGGCTGCAACCAAGCGAGAAGAAGGACAAGGATTTCAATGAAAGAATCTCAACTTGTATTTGTCCCTCTAGATGATTTCTACCTAATGCAATGGCTTTTAGGGACCTACATGAGTAAAGGCTTACTGGAACCGTACCAGTGAAGTTATTGACCCTTAGGTCAAGTTTAGTAAGTTGACTCAGTCTTGAGAAATCAAGCATGGTGATATCTCCTTCCAAGTTGTTGTTTCCTAAATGCAGTTCTACAAGGTTTGTGCAATTCATCAAAGATGGGGGCAAAGCACCTTCTAAATTGTTGAAACCAAAT